TGCGGGGAACTCTGCAAAAAACGCATCTTCGCACGGGCAGCCCGTGCGTTGGCCATTTATTATGTCAATATAAGGGCAATGCGCATTCTTCATCCACTTGGATTTCCCGACCTAGATTTGTCCATTCTTTTTGTTTTCAAACACTATATGTGCATTTAGCTGAATTTAACAACTAAGCATTTGAGGTTCGAGTAAAAAAAAACTTCCTCGACAAACTAAAATGCATTCGAATTTTTTTTTAAGGTTCGCTTTGCAGTGCATTTGCACTTTTCGGGGCTGCACCTGCAATCACAAGAACTGCCTGGGCTACCAGTACGAAACTCTCGATGTCAATGAAATGCCGCAAAAAGCAACTGAGACAGCTCTTTTTTCGCGCATCACTGCTACTCTGCGCCTTCCGTTCCCACCACCTGCGAGGATCATTTCTTTCAAAACCGTCTGAAAACCAAGCAACAGAAAAACACTTGTCCGAACTCAGAAACAAACATATCAGTAGGATTCTCTCGTTATAAACTTACATCCAGTCGAAAAACATTGAAAACACATATTTCGAGTGGCATGCAGAAGCGATTCCACGCAGATCCCTACACAAACCAATGACAGCACGCTGAAAATAAGAGTTATTGCCTTCATGATTACTAAGAGTAAAAACTTGTTCTCTTCAGCAAACCCTCCCACATCCCCTTGGTAAGCAGCTGAATACATGAAAGAAACCCATGCAAAGTAAACTTTCTGAAAAAAAGCAACAAATTTTAATTTGCTAAAATATTTCTAGTTTTCTTCATAAATTTACCAATTAGAATTCAACTTAACTGTCTCATCTGACTTCAACTTTCAGTCCTGTTTGATCAATGCGTACAAATTTGGACCCAATTTAGAAAATTTCCCTATCTCTTAACTCAATTCACCGCATTTTCCTAATTACTTTCCTAATTATGTCACCCTCAACAGAAAAAAAGACGACCATTACATCTCCACCTCCCTTTCATTATCTCCCTTGCAATAAGGCTACGAATTAGAAAGTCATTCGATCACTTTTTTTCAAACTGAAACGTTGGCCGTGTTCAGCATGTCATGATATTAGAAACATCCAGGATATCAGTGTGAAGATCGAAAAGCTAATTAACTTTAGCCATATCGTAAAACAGCGATGCTAGTCCCAAATATCTAGGTTAACCACTCCTGCCTTTATCAAGGACGTCATCTCTTCGGTAGCTGAAATGATCATTTCCTCTTGTGTGGGCACCATTCACTGCTGCACGAAGTTTACGTAAAACTCAGAACAGACCTTCAGACGTTCCTGATCAACGTTGGAGACATCACTCATTGCGAATACATCACAGATTTCACGCACAGTTTCTGCAAATAAATCCATTCAATTCTGATTACTACGCTGACATGCCACAGCCAAGCCAATAATACCCCAGGTCGTCCTGCCTTAGGCTGTCTGCCTTCGCCCCTGAATGCTCTTACCTGTTACCCCACTGCGAATGCATGCCACCTCTTTGGCCAGTTCTAATTGCGGAATCATACCAACTTCCTCACTACTCAATTTTGCGCATGATTAATAAAAAAGAATAATTAAAAAAACACACAAATCAAGAAGATCAACCACTAATGCAACCTACACGTAATTAACACTGCGACTTCAAGACAGCCGAAACTACAGCTGAAGCAACCAAGAAAGCAGACGTTTATCAGAGACAGTGAGAATCTATTCATACACCACAAACGCTTTTCTGAGTTTTCTTCAATAATGTACAAAAATACACAGATAAATAGGGGTTCGCACTACGATAGCTCGTACGATCATGCGTTCTGTGCAATTACGTTCAGCGAACGTTTGCTGTTAAAAATGTTCACTGCTTTATTACTTGATATATGCAAAAATTGTGGAAATGTTCTCATCGGCTAGAGCTTTCATGCGCCCGCAAATGAGACTCAGGTATATTTTGCAAACCAAAATTTTCGGAGTCGCACAAGGGCAGGAAGTACTCTCCTGAAATTTCAACTTTCTGACTCGCTTGATTCCAGAACTGGAAAATTTTCGCCCGCACATGAGACGTAGACGTACGCGAAAACTGAGTTTAAATTTCCCGAGTTGCACATGGGTATGGAACATCCTATTTAAAGTTCTCGCCAAAAACTTTACGTGCTCTATGTTGAACTTAGACGCAGGTGAAAGATGAATCTCGAATTTTTGACAAAGCACACGGGCAGGGAACACCATCCTAAAATTTCAGCTATTTTGGCTCCTAACCTAGTAACTTTTCCGTCAAAATTTTCAGGTGGTCGTACAGGGACTTGGGCGTGCGTGAGAACTGGCTGAAATCTTTGGAGCATATGCCGACGAGAAGCACCCTTTTTAAGTTTCAATTTACCAGCTGTCGTGGTCTCTTTGTTGAAAGTCTCGAAAAAAATGCGCGCACACACACGCACACACACTCACGTTCACACATATACATAAACACACACATACACACACTCACGTTCACACATATACATAAACATACACAGGCAAAAAGTTGCGACAATTCCTGCTTTTTGCAACTGAAACGCGCAAAAGAAAATATTCTCTTCGATAAATGAACCATTTTGACCGAAAATGAAGATTACTCGTAAAAGCTTAACAAGCGGGAATTTCAATCACATCCAAAAGAACTTTTCTTCCTATCTCTCCTCTCCTCCACCTCCCTTTCTCCCCCCCCCCCCCCCCCCCCCCCCCCCCCCCCCCCCCCCCCCCCCCCCCCCCTCTCCCCCCCCTCCCCCCCC